AAAAATTAAAGGGAAGATATCCTAAAACTTCCAGGAAATCTCCACCAATGAAGCAAAGAAAAAAAAAAAGCCTCTATTATTCTGTGAGCAACAGACCAAACTGAGCTGGGGTCTCAGACAATTCGCTCATATGATTGCAAAGATAGACAGAAACTCCTGGATTGGAGAGGGCTCCCCTGAGGGCTCCCAGATTGGAGAGGGTGCAGGTCAGGCTCTGGGACCCCCACACCCTCCAATGCACGAATGTCGTGCACCGGGCCTCTAGTGAATTCCATAAGTACCTGCGAACCTCAGGGAGTGTTTTTTTAAAAAAAGGATCTTTCCAGTAGGGGGCGTGCAGGAGGCAGCCCACCAATGATTCTCATCATTGATGTTTCTCTCTCTCTCCCTCTCCCTTCCTCTCTGAAATCAATAAAAATATACTTTAAAAAACTAAAAAGAGAATCTTTAAGTTACTAACATATATTGGTAATTATGGATATGAACATGACTTAAAATGCTACAGGGGAGATGGCACATATATGTATACACACATATTTAACTAACAAGAAACACATTGTTGGTGGGGGCCTAGATCTTTCTGATGAGAAACATCGTTCAGCCATGCTTGGGCTTATCACCAGCAGGTGCTGGATTGATTGGTGGTGCCCGCAGCAGCCAGGCTGGGGCGGCAGATGGGTGCCTGGTGCTTGCCATCCTGCGCCTGGGACACGACCACATCGCCGCCACCACCACCACGACTCTCTGTCCACCCAAGAGCTTGAGGCAGGGAAAACGCTCCGGGCGCAGTGCTGGTGCTGGCCTGGATTCTGCATAAAGAGCCTAATGTCTGCAGAACAAACAATACCTGCAAAGACGAGCTACCTAAACCTGTGAGGACCGGGGGTTGGGGGGGTATGAGGGGTGGGGCGGGGGGAATTGTGCAAGTGCGCTTGGCTCTGGGCCATAGCGCAAGGGGACTGAGCCAGCACGTGCTCGGGGGGCACCGGCGGTGGCGCCAGGGGACTTGAGAAGGCTCATACCCCGGCCGACTCCACACCTTCACGGGCTCCCGAAGAGAAGCGGGGGCCCCTCTATTTTCTAGACATAAGAAATGCCTGGAAGTTACGTGAAGATAGATGTCAAATTTGACGTGAAAGGTTCCTAAGAATAGGGTTGGCATTTTCCCACAATGACAGGAGCTGTCTTGCGAGAGAAGGCGCTCACAGCAGGGGGGGTGCAGATGGGATGGAAGGACACCTGGCAGCGAAGGCCCAGAAGGGCTCGTCCTGCCTGGGGGACCCCGAGGAGAGCGAGCCAGGGACCCTGCCACGGCTGAGTCCCGAAGGTGCAGCCTGGTTGCTCATGGCGCCAAGTGGAAGGGACTCGTGCTGGTTTGTGAGAGCTGAGGGCCGAGGGCAGCCCACGGATTGCTGCCTACCAAGTATGTTCAATTAAACAACGGCAATAAAGGACGGTAGGTCGCACCTGACTCTGAACGCCAGAATACGTTAAATGCAGCACTGGCAAAGAATTAGAGGCTCACATACCAAATGACCAACTACTTTAAAGAAAAAAATTTTTTTTTATTGATTTCAGAGAGGAAGGGAGAGGGAGAGAGAAAAGCATCAATGATGAGAGAGAATCATTGATCGGCTGCCTCCTGCACGCCCCACACTGGGGATGGAGCCTGCAAGCTGGGCATGTGCCCTGACTGGAATTGAACTGTGACTTCCTGGTTCATAGGTTCATGGCTCAACCACTGAGCCACACCAGCTGGGCTGGATTGCTTCTAAGACAGCGGTTCTCAACCTGTGGGTCGAGACCCCTTTGGCGGTCGAACAACCCTTTCGTAGGGTCGCCTAAGACCATCCTGCATATCAGATATTTACATGACGGTTCATCACAGTAGCAACATTACAGTTAGGAAGTAGCAACGAAAATAATTTTATGGTTGGGTCACAACATGAGGAACTGTATTTAAAGGGCCAGAAGGTTGAGAACCACTGCTCTAAGAGAACCCAGTCAGCCTTTATCTCTGAATTCCTCAGGCTCGGGCTCTTTTTTCCTGGGACACTGGCTCTCATCCTAGCTCAGGACGAACAAGTATGTCTCCTCTCCGCCACCTGCCTCCACACGGCTCTCGGGACCCCCGACCTGGCCTGGGCAGAGCCTGCCAGAGTGGCCCTGGCGTGAACTTACATGTCGTGCAGCCCTGATGAGTAGTAGGACAGGGTGGGGCTGGGAGAGCGAGTCTGCGGCCGGGGCCTGGCTGCGCGAGGCGGGACGGAGGGGCTGGTGGACAGAGGCTTGGCGCTTCGGGGCGGAACCGGCGGGGCGTTCAGGAGCCGGCACTCTTCCCTGACCTGGCACGGGAAAGAACACCATGGTTAGATGGATGGGCAGTGCCCGGCAGCTCCACCCGCGGCCCACCGCTCCTGGCAAACGCAGATGGTACCAGCAGGGCCTCAGGACAGGAGAGGGACACAGAGGATGCCAGAGGCAGAATCCCTGCCTGTCCCATCCTCCCCGGGACAGACGCTGCTGCTGAAATACCGCAGGCCATCGAGACACAGCAGGTGAAAGGGCGAGGACATGTGCAGCAAGAGGGGTAAGAAAATAAGGGCATAAAGCGATCGGGGATCAAACTCTCCTTGCCCTTCGGTGGTGTTCACTCACTGTTCAAAGTGAATTCAATTTGACCCGAACCCGAGGGCACAGCACACCGATCCCTGGGTCAGAGTTCCTTCTGAAGCCATGCTCAGGGCTCTCACGTGTAAATGTGCCCGTGGATCATGAATCCCCCGGGAATCCTGCCGGCGTGTGGACTGATTCCGGGACCCAGGGTGGGGCCTGAGAGTCTGCATTCCTCATAAGCTCTCCGGAGAGACTGCCGCTGCTGGACCAGGCCCACACTGCAGGAGCGAGGCTGTCATAGGAATAATGAAGGCAGCTCGCCAAGTCCCCAAGAGAGCACTTTTGTAAAAAACACATATTTTTAGTGATTTCAGAGAGGAAGGGAGAGGGAGAGAAACATCCATGATGAGAATCATGGGTGGGCTGCCTCCTGCACACCCCACACTGGGGACCAAGCCTGAAACCCGGGCATGAGCCCTGACTGGGAATCAAACCGTGACCTACTGGTTCATAGGTCAATGCTCAACCACTGAGCCACACCGGCCAGGCCAGAATATGACTTTTTAAAGAGGTGGACATTTTTATGCACTTCTCTGTGTCTGCCAGCAGGGGGCAGTTTATACCTGACTCTGCTGGTCTACCCTGAACGACACAGGTGAAAATAGAGCCGATTCTGACTTTGGCAAACACACCCTCGCCTGCGTTCAGGCCACATCCCCACTGGCTCCTTCTCCTTTGCTGTCATGCCCTCCTGCCCTAGCAGCTCTGGGGTGACAAAGGCAACGAAACGGCCAGCTCCCCTTAGCTTTGTCTCTCAGTTTGCTTAAGACCCAGTGACACGGGTTCACGCTAGACCGCATCTCCCACCACCCGCACGCGCACGGGGCTCTAACTGGCCCAGGCCTGACTCACCGGCCAGAGAAAACCGGGTGGGAAGAAAAGTCATGTGTCTCTGGGGACCTGGTGAACCTCAATTCTAAGTGAAACGGAAGCGATTTAAAAACCCCGACCCACTGGATTTCTTCCTGGGGCTGAAGGGGGCGGGAGGGGTGTCACTGCTGGCACCTGGAGGACCCCCTGCCCCCGCTCCTGCTTATGGGGACCCTCCGGTTCCAGCTTTGCATCTGGAGAAGCTCTTTAGGCAAAAGCCAAGTCCTCAGAGCGGCAGACCTGCTTCTGCCCGCGGGCTCTCCCCTTCGCTCTTGGGCAGGTGGAGCGGAGGGTGCAGGAGGAGGTCTGGGTAGAGGACGGGGCGCTGGGCTGGCTCGCAGAACCTGGCACCCCTCGGGGGGTCTTCTGAAGACGCCGAGAACCGCCCAGCGTGGCCCAGTGGCTGAGCTTTGACCTCTGAACCAGGAGGTCACAGTTCGATTCCGGGTCAGGGCACATGGCCGGGTTGTGGGCTCGATCCCCAGTGTGGGGCGTGTAAGAGGCAGCCGATTGATGATTCTCTCTCATTGTTGCTGTTTCTATCTCTCCCTCTCCCTTCCTCTCTGAAATTAAAAAAAAAAATTAGAGAGAGAGAGAGAGAAGCTAAGAACCAACCAGGACGTTGGCGAGCTTTGGCCGGGTCCCCACCCCCTGCCTGGCTTGTGGGAACACACACTGGTTACGAGACGAGTAACCAGCACATGGTGTCACTGCTCCCGCCGTGTCAGAGGCTGCACGGTGGGACTGTGCTGCTCTCAGCCTGGGGACCGTCTGCAGAATCGGGGGTGGAGGTGGGCCTGCATCACAGAGGTGCGTGGTGGCGCTTGTGCTTATAGGGTTAGTGGTCGTGGGAACCTGACTAACGTCTCCGTTTTTAAAATGCACACTCAGCGATGCCTCAATATCCTGTGAGAGAGGGAGGAGCACGCGGGGGACACGGCTGGTGCTGAGTCTGATTTAGACTTTCCTACATTCTGGGACTAGTCATTGAGGACGGCCTTTCATTGGAGACCGCTTGCCTAGATGCCAGTGATCCTACGCGGAGGGGTCGGTTACAAGGTGCATCTGAATTGAACCAGCTGACCGAGGGTTAGAACCCAGCGAAGCCGCTGGTCGCTGAATCTGACCTCGGAGACGCCCTCTCTCCCAACCCCAGGCTCTCGAGGTCCCTCGGAGCTGGTCCTGCCACCTCCTTCCCCACCTGGGCAGTCTAGGAAATGTCACTGAGAAAGTCTTGAGGAAGAAGGAATGGGCAGGGACAAAGGTGTGGCGGCATGGAGAGCCTGCCCGGTGCTCTGGCCTGGAGGCTGAGGTGAGGAGACAAGGCTGGAGCCACTCAGCAGGTGGGAAGGTGGAGGGCAGGGCAGGGCTGGCAGAAACCAGGGAGCTCCGTGTTGAAGTTGCTGAGCTGGAGGCGACGCTCTGCCAAGAGGATCTGGATGCAGAGCTGGCCACAGAGGGGGAGGGGGAGACAGGGAGGGAGGCAGCCTGGGGCCCATCGTCCCCTCTCAGAGCAGAGCCGTGCTGGATGGTGTCGGGGGCGAGGCGGACAGCAGGAGGAAGAGAGAGGAAAGGTGGAGGTCTGGATAGAGATGTGGGGAAGTCTGGAAGGGTCTGGACGTTACGTAATAGTTAGCAGGTTACTGGGGATCTTAGCAGGTGAAGCCCGAGTCCAGTGAGGGGGGCAGAAGCCGGTCCCAGGGAGTCAAAGCGAGAACAGGAGGTGAGGGTGGCCGGTGAGACCAGACCATCTTTTCAGGAATACTGGCCGGAAGTAAGGGGGAGCCAGTTATCAGAAAGGGTCCAGGATCGAAGGAGGCATGTTTTTTAAATTTTTATTTATTTTAAAATATATCTTAATTGATTTCAGAGAGGAAGGGAGAGAGAGGGAGGGATAGAAACAGCAATGATGAGAGAGGATCATGGATCGGCTGCCTCCTGCACGCCCCACACTGGAGATTGAACTGGCAACCCGGGCATGTGCCCTGACTCGGAATCGAGCTGTGACCTGGTTCATAGGTTGATGCTCAGCCACTGAGCCACATCGGCCGGGCTCTATTTTCATTTCTTAAAGTTGGAAGAAACTTGAAGAATGTGCCGGGTGTGGACAGGTGAGCAGGAGGCCGAGGGCGCACAGACTCCTGGGACCTGTGCTCTCCTCTCCCTGAAGAGGGAAGAGAGGACACGCGCGTTGCTGTTGCTCTCTGCCTTCGCCGGACAAGTCCCCAAGGGCAGCGTCTGCCCCGGCAGCTGAAGCCAGGACGGAGCACCCCCGACAGAGCAAATGGCTTTGGGAAGCTTTATGCTTCCCAGTGAAGGCGGTCAGCGAAGTCAGAACCCAGCTCCCCAACGCCCATCTGCGGTCCCATCAAACGCGTCACCGAATGGGACTATAGTTCCTTTTCCAGAACACTGTCCAGAAAGCTCCCCGGGACCACCTACCTACCACCTGGCCCGGGCAGGGAGCCGCCCGTCCCCTCTCCACTGCCCACGTCTCTAACTCTTTAGCTGGGAGAGGGCAAAGGGCAAAGAGCAGAGGGCAAAGGACCAGTAACTGGTGGACAACGGCAAACAAGGCCGTCTGGCTACTCAGCCGCGTGTTAAGCATGATGCCCGGGGGGCCTGGGTTACACGCAGACGTGTAGAGGACAATTCAGACCTTCGTACAGTCGGCCTGTGACCTGACGTCTTTCTCCTGTGACATGAACTTTCTCTGACACTTCCTAGGAATTGCAGGAAGATAAACAGACACACCCCCAGTGCTCATGAGGCAGCACAGGGGGACGGGGGTTTGTGGTGTGATGATGTTTCCTGAAAAGTCCTTGTTTCTTGGAATTCCCTGTTTTTCTCCGATGGAAGAAGTGACACGCACACGCCCCTTCACTAACTGGACCAAGGACAAAGGGTAAGACGAGTAAATGGTACACTTACTATGACATGTTTTTTGCTTAACTGTCTTTTTTTTCCTGAAAAAAAAAAATAAATAAATAAAAATTTCTGCCCTAGACCCGTGGTCGGCAAACTGCGGCTCGCGAGCCACATGCGGCTTTTTGGCCCCTTGGTGGCTCTTCCTGCGGCTCGCGAGCCACATGCGGCTTTTTGGCCCCTTGAGTGTGGCTCTTCCTAAGCCTTAGGAGGACCCTAATTAAGTTAATAACAATGTACCTACCTATATAGTTTAAATTTTAAAAATTTGGCTCTCAGAAGAAATTTCAATCGTTGTACTGTTGATATTTGGCTCTGTTGACTAATGAGTTTGCCGACCACTGACCTAGACAGTTTGGCTCAGTGGATACAGCGTCGGCCTGCAGACTGAAGGGTCCCGGGTTCGATTCCGGTCAAGATCACATGCCTGGGTTGAGGGCTCCATTCCCAGTAGGGGGTGTGCAGGAGGCAGCCGATCAATGATCCCCTCTCATCATTGATGTTTCTATCTCTCTCTCCCTCTCCTTTTTTCTCTGAATCAATTAAAAAAATATATTATTTTTTAAAAAAGAAAATTTCCTAGCAGTGGTTACTCCACTGTTAAATCAAAGGCAACGACTCTGGAGGCCTGCTGACGAGCCCACACGCGGGAAGTGAAAATCTCAGACGCGAGGGCAGCCACTCCCGGGATCCCAGATGCTTAGGCAGCGAAGGGTCATTTTGTTTCTGTGTGAAGACGAGTCAGGAAACATACAGACGACGGATGGACTCCCCTTTCCTGTGGGTTTTCTGCTCCAAAAAGCCAACCTCGGGCCCCTGCCGGCAACCGGGGACGGCAGTCTTGTGACCACGCTTCCTCGAACTTTGTAACTTT